AGCTGCCTTCCCTCTAGTCTTACACTGCTAAATTAGGGACGGCTAGCGCAGATAGCACTCGTGTAGCTTTGCGCGAAATTCTAAAAAAAAAAAACCTAGAATGTAGAGTGTGACTATCTCCCTGGTGTGAAGAACCGCCAAGAAAAAAATGTATATTCACAAAAACAAAATAATAATACAGTTACAAAATTAAAAACAGAAAGAAAAAAAAACGAGGGCAATTGTGTTTGTGGTCGGTGCGTCGAACTTATAAGACTATTGGTAGACTTTGATTCAATTCTCATTAAATGGATGTATCCCCCCCCCCCACTGTAAATAAGACTATTACTAAAATTTTAAGCAAACAAACTAAATCTCCAAGTTAATGTTAAAACTTAAAATCCAAATTATAGTCAATGAAGATAAATAAAACTATTCTAAATCTCAAGTTCAGCACTATTAAACTCAGCAAAGCAATGTTAAGCAACTTCTAATTAAAGTAAAAAAGTCTACCAAAGAGCTTAACAAAGGCCAAACAAAGCCATGTGAAAGTTGAACGTGAGTTCCCAAGAAAACCCTGATAGTTCAACGAAAGTTAAGTGAAATCCACGTTAAGTTAAACGTTACTACAGCTGCAAAAAAAAAAAAAAAAAGGCTTAAGTTAACTTTAACAAATGTAAGACTACTCAGAAATGATAAAAGTCCCTAATTCTAATAAATTATTTTTTCTCTTCTTTTACAAGGACAGACTTGGCTTTGTATACAAAAACATATTAACATTAAAAATGTTAGATCTACAAATATGATCATTGTCCACTGTGAATCGAATCAATCGCCCGGACGTGGTAGCCTCTGACTGTTATTTGATTCGCTGATGGAGAAGACAGCGTTCTAGTTCTGAATGTCACATATTATCTTGCCTGCAAGAAACTCGGCTACTTGCTAAATAGTGAACTCGCATCTTGTATGCACCCAACGAAACAAGGGGAGTTGAAGATCATACTTGAGCAACTCCTTGTGTTTTTTGAAACACAATATCGAAAAAAAATTCACCTCAGCTAGAATGTGAAGCACGATAAATTTTGTTTTTGATGATCCAAAGGTTAAACACAATTATAACCAAGATATTTAGACATGGAAAAGTAATTACCAAAATAAGTTTAAATCTAAATACTTCATGGAAAAAAATATTTCGGGCAGCTAGCAAACTGTAGATATACCATATTGCATTTAATTAACGCGCCCCCTGGAATTTTTATAAAGTTTACCTTTTGTGACAGCAGTAGTAATCCAACAAATAATCCACTTTTATTACCGTAATTTTGATTTGAAAAAAAAAATACACACACTTATAAACATTGAAATCAACAAATCACATGTGAAAAATAGAATCCGGAACTGCACAAATATTATAATTAGCACCATCACCCCCTTTGCACTTTGCGACGCCCTGGGGCGTTAATTAGGGGAAATATTGTATGTAGGTTTTAATTTAAGCATAAGGTATATCATAAAACGATGAATAATACACACACACAGAAACAATGTCAACCAGTCCCCGAACATTATTACTAGATTGCCCTCTGAATAACACCCAGCCCGTAGTCAACCCTGTAAACCTGATGCCCTGAAACAATCATTAGTAATCCACTTATTGAGTCAAGTTCCGAACTTCACTAGGAGATTAGCCATTATAACTTATTACACTCAACAACGTCTAGATGGTATAAACCTGGTGTAGTCTAATATTCAGAGTGGATTCACTTTATTGTAGTCTCATTTCTGATTCACTAAGTCATGTTGTTTTATTGTTGATGACGGCCCCTGATAAAGGACAAAATTACATCTCAAATAAAAAACGGATAATGAATATTAGAACAACTGTTAACATCATTAATAAACGTTTCGGAATGATACATATTCCATCGTCAGGACATCTATAATAATAGTGAAGAGAACAATGAATATTAGAACTATGTCAACAACTGTTAACATCATTAATAAACGTTTCGGAATGACACATATTCCATCTTCAGGACATCTATAATAATAGTGAAGAGAACAATGAATATTAGAACTATGTCAACAACTGTTAACATCATTAATAAACGTTTCGGAATGATACATATTCCATCTTCAGGAAATCTATAATAATAGTGAAGAGAACAATGAATATTAGAACTATGTCAACAACTGTTAACATCAGTAATAAACGTTTCGGAATGATACATATTCCATCTTCA